TATATATATATATATATATATATATATATATATATATATATATATATATATATATATATATATATATATATATATAATGCATACACAGTAACTTTTTTTATTTTCTAAAATTTAGAAAATATAAGAGGCTATGGCCAGAAACTTACTGAATCAGCCGTAACATGTTTGACCATATGATTAACAGAAACCTAGTAAATGAAAGAAGGACACAATTAGTAAGTATCACACTGAATTAAACTGAATTTTGAAGTAAAAAGAATAACATACTCCAATATAGTCTTTGTTTTATTTACAACTTTACAACAAAATAATATTTTTAACGTGGAAAAAAGTCCACGTGAAATGGTCATCACCCATTTTACTTCAGTGATGTATTTCAGGGTGAAACTCTATATTCAATGAAAGATTGTTTGATGAAAGTATTAAGTGAATAAGGTATTCACAATAAGACCAGAAACATACAGTAAAAAAGTAAATCAGAGTCTATTTTGATTTGTAATTTTGATGAGAAGAGTTGATGTGTAATACATAAAGACATTCAAACTTCTAGAGCTGCTCATAGCATTTTGCTATACATTTATTGAGGAATTTCTAGTATTTAATGACCAAGTGTCAGATGCTATTAGCTATCCATCATACACACTTGTTCAAATGTCAAATAAATCACAAAGTGAACCAACTTCAAATCAAATAAATAAACTCAACTTAATTTGAATTTTGCACATTAGCATAAAGCTATAAACTGAATGAAATGGTTTGGCAATTGATTGGGAGGGGGTAATAAATACTAGAGAAAATCCCTCATGCTGCCTTTATGGCACGGTAAATTATCCAAAGCCTTCTGTAATGTCCTCCTGGTTCGGCGCAGTGTGCAATAACCCACAAAACCCTCTGCAATATTTATCAGCACACACACTGCCGATGTGGCCAAGTAAAGTGCAGAGTAGCAGAACACAAAAGAACAATATCATTCATTGTATGATTTAGGTTAAATGCTCATTTAATGTTGGCTATTCAAATTTGTGTTTGAGCAGGAAACTAAAATGACTATCAAGAAGCGAATTTAAGCTATCCATCAAGCCCTAATATAAATTATTTTAGTTTAATGTTCAATGTTCAGTCACCTGTTGAATTGATAGAACACAGTTGAAAAGGCACACAAAAGTATGCAGCACTGATGTCGTCTCATTAATAGCATTCTTGCTCTAATGGAATACATTCTTTCATATGGGGAAATGCTTTTGTTATTAGATAATCAATTATTATAAATATTAATCATTTAAAAAAAATTCAGGGATACAGTGTGCTTGCAAATAGCTTATAGCTGTCTTTGTATACTAAGCTGAGACAGGGAGTATTTTACCATCAAAAAAGTTACACACTTCATCTTAAAATTCTCTTGCATTACATTTTTTCATTATCGGTTTTGATTTTATTATAGGTTTTGGATTATCAAGCATGACATATATACCTATTCTTTTGAGAAATATTAAGATACTGTGATGAAAAAACAAAGTCTGGATGTGTGGCTTTGGGGTTTCACTGTACATGCCAACAATTCAATAATTCAATCCTCATATACAACAGCAAACAAACACATGTGGTTATATATGATCAATGTATTTTTCATGCTCTTTAGAAAAATCTATTATTGTATTCAATTATGTATATATATCTATATATATATATAAAAAACATGTAAATTGTAAAGATCACGTGGTTGCGTATATCATAAATCCTTTCTTGTTTTACAAAGGCATTTTGCAAAACCAAACCACCAAAACTCACTATCCATCTATATAGCAATGCCACCTACTTGCAGTACTTTCACTGCTGATACTGAACCTAATTTACAACCGTCCATCCAAGTTCTTATTGAACAGCCCCCACAGATTCTTAATATCTTTCCTTGTCACTCCCCCCAGAAACATTAAATACGTGCCTTACGGATGTTATCATTGTACTGTCAGCTTGTCATGAAATGCTGGCCATGACTCATCTTTTTTGCACTTTGATGTACTATGCTGGCATTTAAATTATTTCTTGATGGAAGGTATATAGCACAAAAAAAATAAAACCCTCTTTGTACTAACAATGAGTCATCAGCCTCTTAGGTACAAGAAAAGAGTTTTAAAACAGAACAGTGATACAACCTTGAGAGAAAAACAGGAGTGGTTACTGCACGAAAACACAGACAATTACATTGTTGTGATTATTATGTTCATCTAAGGAAAAAAGTTTGTATTCATTTGTTGTAAAAGGATATTTCAAGGCTAAAATCCATTATTCGGTTTAGTAAATGCACAGTGTACATAATCTTAACCCAGTCATATTTCACAAATTAATCTCCATTGTGAGTGGAAGAGTCAATTAAATGTTAAATCAAATGACCTTATAGATCAGGGGTGGCGAACTCCGGTCCTGGAGAGCCACAGTCCTGCAGAGCTCAGCTCCAACCCTAATTAAAACTCCCCTGCCTGTAGCTTCCTAGTAACCCTTCAGGCCTTGATTATCTTGTTCAGGTGTGTTTGATTAGGGTTGAAGCAAAACTCTGCAGGGCTGTGGCTCTCCAGGACCGACGTTCGCCACCCCTGTTATAGATAAATGATGTGTGACATTGTGACATTCATGTCATTATCTCTTCTGTGTATTGCCCTTTCTGAACAGCCACATTTTTGTAGTTCATCTGGATGAGAGCATGAAAAGACTTTTCCAAGAATGAAGGAACAGTAAGTATCCACTTAATCTCAGCGTCCACTCCATAACAGCATACTCATAATCGTCACCTCCCTTCCGTTTTGAGAGCTCTTTTTGGCAAAGGCAGTAATTAGGGCTCCCTGCTGCGTATCTCTGTGGCCTTACAGCTCTGTGTCGCTGCTCAACCGTGTGTGGCTGTGAGAAAGCGTTGGAGGAAAGACGTAACGCGGCCCCTCATATCTGAATCACTCGTGTCTAATTTTCTCTCTGCTCAGAGATTCTTTGAGTCAAGACCCCTCACTGCCATCAGACAAATGTGTCCAATGAACAGCCTACAGTTTGTCAAATTTTGTTTCATAAAGCAAGAAAAAGTTGATGTGATGGATGGATGGATGGATGGATGAATAAATAGATATAGCATGTAGAGATTATAGATAGACACAATGACAGACAGACAAACATATTCTACATATACAGGGAGGATATCTGCATATCATACTTTTATGATATCACACTTTTTTGTATGTACACAGAACACCTTCATTAGTAAACACAACATGGCCGTCTAGGGAAAGAAAGGCCTTGTTTGTTTGGGGGAAAAACATCATGTGGGAATGAAACTGTTTTTTAAATCAACATTTAAATTGTATATTCACATAAATTATAAATCAATAGAACTGATGAGTTTATGAAACCATTTTTTGCAGAGATGAAACTACCATCATTAAAATAAATGCTGGGCCACATGCATTATTCTGATCCTGTCCGACCAGGATGTGAATGTGTGTTTTTTATGAGCCAGCCTGGGGCAACAACCTGGTTCGGAGGGCAACGAAATTGCTTTCATCCCTTTTCGGAATAGACAAAATTGCATTTGATCACAGTCCCTCACACTTAAATAGTGCTGTTTACTCAAACAGAAGCAGATCGGAGCTCAGAGGCCAATGATTGGAGTGTTAATGCATCCCTGTGATCCCGACACTATTACTTCTCTATATATCTCTGAGTGTAATGGGATATTTAATAACAGTGATCCCCCCACAGGCGGCCAATCACCCTCATCATTTGATTTTAAAATGTTTGCAATAACCTGCGGCCCGCAGGTGTAAACATGTTGCAGGGGAGTGTGGATGCGCAGACCCTGTGTCATTTTCTTAATGGAATTCCTCAGAGGTGCAAAGGGGGAAGCCTTCAAAAATAAACAGCCCAGAGCCATATATATGACAGGGTTGGGGGATATGAAAGGATATAATCCAAATACCTGTAAGAACCAATAAGGGTTTGAGGATGGGAGGATGGGTGGCGCAGACAGTGTTGCATAAAGTTTACCTACAGCCGTGGTGTTGTTTTGTTGTAAAGATTGCTGGACCGGAACAGCGCGTTGATGTTAGAGAAGCAGAAGATGAGAAAGGCAGCCATTCTGTTTTATCAGACAGGAATCCGTTATTACCCTCACAAACACTTAATGGAGTATACAAGTCTGAGTCCCCTGGGTATGACAGATGTGCAGAACACATCAGCCGCTCCTGCTAACCAAATCTTGTAATATTTAGCAGCCACGTGGTGCTCAGCTTGAACATGCTCAGATGGAAAGACCATCAGTCACGTTGATATAGAAAGATGCCCCCCCCGTCCCCAAAGTTTCTCAACATGTTATTACAGCCATTACTACGTTTATGTGTGTGCATTTATGTGAGTGTTGAGCTAATAGAGTGACAGGCCTTTTAATCAGCCCACAGAGAGCGTGTTCTCATTACCAGCTCCCCTGATAGCACCGCTTACACTTCTGCTGGGACACTGATATCCTTCTGCTGTGGTCCTGAATGGAATCTCTTCTTCCTCGCCTTCCACACTTAACGGAACTAACATGCCGATCACAAGTCCAGCTCCTTCTAGGGATTAGCTTACACCACAGGAGAGACACACTCTCGCACACGCACACGCACACAGAGCCATTAGTGTATAACGTCTGGCTCGTTCGTGCATAGCAGTTGCCAATTACTTTCAGTGGGAACAGAATCCTCTTTAGGTGTCTGTGCGTCTACATCAGACAATCAGAGGGAACTGGATGGAATGGAATTCTAATGCAGCAGCAGAGGAAGCAGGTGAAATACCACTGCAACTGCTGAAATAACCACATAGGCTCACACCAGTACAAATGTGAATAATTTATTTAAATGGAAATGGATAGGTAGAGATCATCAATGAAAAAATACTATCAAAATGCTTCATAACAAATAATGGTTGATTTTTAGTATGTCCAGATGTGCAGTTGCAATGAAATGGAAGTAGTGTCAGATTTTTTTCTTCTGTATTGTGACGTATGTCCAAGTGAAACATATTATCAAAAAAGAAAAAATGTAGGGCGGGAACTTGATGTTATCTATTGATTGATTACTGATTGGATTTTGAGATGTAAACAGTCAAAAAAAAAATGTATACAAGCTTGAAGTTGACTGAAAAAAAGAAGTAGGGTTAAGTGGATTAAATAATTGAAGAAGTCCTGTATATGTCACCAGAGAGAAGTCTGAAGATTGAGTTGACATTTTGATTAAATATTTTAAAGTCAAAATATAATTTAATTCTTTAAAAAAAACAACTATAAATTAATGAATTGTTCACAATAAGGGGTTTAACAAGTATTTGAAAAATAATGTATTTTATAATGTATTTAATAATGTATTTTATGCAGACTTTAGAGGAATATACTATTTAAGATCTGCCAACAGCAGTGTCCGGTTCTGTAATTGATTTAAGGTTAAATAACCAATAATAAATTAAATAATTTTAAAACAAAGCAAAACTAAAATGTCCCAACTGTTATACATTGACAATGGATGTTTTTATTCCAAAGTAAAAAAAAAAAATTAAATCCACAAGAAAGTATAGCTTTAACATCATGTTTATATGAGACTAGTGTGATAGAAACAATTACTAACCTGCACTAAATTATTTCCAATATTTCGGCCCAATTGGCCATGTGCCACAAACGCTGTTGATAGAATTTAAAGGGATAATTCACTCCAAAATAAAAATTCTGTTATCATTTACTCACCCTCATGTTGTTCCAAACCTGTATGTGTTTCTTTCTCCTGTGGAGTTCTGTGAATTTTTGGTTCATATAATGTATTGGTTCAATACTGTTTGGAACCCAAAATTCTTCAAAATATCATTTTTTAAGAATTAATTTAGAGGTGAATATTATCTAGCACCACCAAGTAAGGAATACCAGAGGGTTAAAATCAATTGGTGATAATGACTAATATCCGTTATCTTCATACTGACATTTACTTGGGTCCATAAAATCTTGATTCAAGAAATCTCAATCCACTCATACTAGTAGTGAACCAGTATGGTTACATAAAAAAAACGCATGTAAAGGTCACATAGACCACATTACAGATAGGCAGTACCCTGTGAGTGTACATCTGTGTGTTTTTATGAATGAGTGTGTGTGGATGTGCATGCCAGCTCTTTGGCTGTGATGATCTAATGGAACCCTGCCAAGACAAGATAGTCACCCTCACCTTCCACACGGATGCCACCTCGTCGCCCATCACACGGCTCACGCGCCGCAATCCCGCTGCTGTCTGTAGCAGTGAGTTTGAGAGGGCAGGAGAGGAGGAGTGCTGCCACAGCGTATCCCTTTCTGCTTGCTGAACATATTCAGCTAGACAGGCGTCCCTGGAGTGGGCCAAGAAACAGATGGCTGGGGACTCGATCTCCCATCAGCGTGAAATCAGGAGCCCCGCGGCCCATCCTCCAGGGCTTCATCAGCCGCCCTGTCACACACACACTTCTCTTCCTCCACCTCTTTTAATTTGTTGTTTTAAAGATCTGCCTGAGGATATTTGGTGGCTTATTGATGTTCCTCCTCCCTGCGGCGCTACAGCAGAGCTGTTAACAGGTGTTTCAGAGACACCCCTCTGTTACAGCTCTACTTACTTGATCGGATGCGGAAAACAATTTCCACAGTGTGTCTTATCCCACACCCATGCCTTTCAACATGTGTTGTGGCACCAGTGTAAAAGAACAAAGGTACGATGACAAGAAACAAAAGACGCCACTTTCAAAGAGTTTTCATGGCTTATTTTGTTTCTGGCTGCATGTACAAAGTGTTAAAATGTTGCTTGGGAAACCATATGCATCAAACACAAATCCTGGCACTGGATTTTATGTGGATTAATATGATTGTGACAAACATGCCCCGGCCTCAACCACAATAAACCTGCCACAATGGGAAAATAGCACAGTATACATGCTTCTGATTAATGTAAATATGGCTCCATAATTCACCTGACATGCCTGATGGAAGATATGCTCATTTTTATTTATTTATTTGCACAAAATGTAAGCTGCGGGCCATAGCTTAGAAATTATCTTAGCAAAAACATAAAACAGGGAAAAGCAGAATGTCAATAAAACAAAATATTTTTTGCCTTTTTCCATGGTAACAGTTTTGACTTTTGAAATTACTGTTATTGAAATTATATAAAAAAAAATCATACAGGAACTCCTTCAAGAAACCTTCATAATATTTCTTAAACATTCAGAATTTAATTAAAAAACAATTTATTATATTATTTTATTACTAAATTTAAATACATTTTACCTAACCTTTTTAAATAACAATGGTTAAAACAAAATTTTTGACTGGATGACTGTATATATAATTATTTTGAATAATTAGTTTGAAATAATCTTCTAAAAATATTTTTA